ACACTCTTTGTGGGCCTGGACCAGCTCTGTCCCAGTTTGACCACCAGCCCCACTGTGTAGCAGAGGCCATGGAACGAAGCGTTGAACAGCAAAGGCTCACTGGTGTTGACGAAAGGAACCAAGACCAGGCGAGGTTCTCCTGAGATCTGTACCGCGTAAGCTGTGATGTTCTCCTGAAGGTCCTCAGGCTCAAGTGTGGCCACGATCAATCCTTCCTGGTTCGTGGAAACCTGGAACGCTGACAAAACCTGAAAAAAGAAAAAAAAATGAATCAGCTTACTGGGTCCACCTGGCTACTGAAACGTTTTAGTCAGTTTCATGTTACAAAATAAAGTTAACCTTTATAATTTCAAATAACCAGATTATTTACCAGACTGACAGCTCTAGCCTAGATACTACAATTGTTGGGTATAGATTGCTGCTGTGCAGTTCATCAAACTTTGATTTACAGAATTCAAATAAACTTTTTAATGAATTAATGCTCTACTTTATAAAAAAGCTGTGAAAATAGCAGATCTAGTTCAACACATCATATTGGTTAATATGACAGACAAGCTAACAAAATGTACAAGAAAAGAATCTATAAAGTCTGAGGGTTCATCCAGAATTTCAAATGGGGCTTCATGGTGTTTTGCAGTGTTTATTTTGGAAAAAAAAAATTGATGAGGCTAAATATCTTTCATTGTATCACCTATAAATCTGACAAAGTGACATTTAAAATAGTGGTTCCACCTGAAAAATATTCCCTAAAACCTTTCTGTCATACAAATACAAATATTTCCAATTTATAGTTTAGTTGAGGTCCACCAGTTTAGTCCAGAGGTATTCAACAGGGGATCCGCGACCCCTAGGGGGTCCACAGAGGTACTGCATGGGGGTCGCGAAAGTTTTGATCGCTTTGGTCGCTTTTTTTCCACTAATTGAAATGTCTTTAAATCCAAATTAACATGAATTCCACAGACTGTAGTAAACAGATAAATGGAGGCAGAAGATGTCTTTCAGTCATCAATGCACACATTAAGAGACACACAGGAGCTCTTTCAAGCTGGGCACCGTTTCATTCACAACACCTGTCCCATCAACCAGGAATCTGAATCAGAAATACTTTAATAATCCCAGGGAGGAATTACTTTTCTTACATGACTCCATCTGTAATAGAGTGACTATAGGACCAGTTTGATAGAACACCATTTCCTACAATATATATAATCAGGGGGTCCCTGCTTCAGCTCGCCGTCAGTTTGAGGGTCCTTGGCCTGGAAACTATTGACTAAACCCCTGGTTTAGTCAATAGTTTCTATGGAAATATGTTTGACTTGGAATTAAATGATTTTCATTTATTATCTCTTATATTTTCAATATAAGTTGTGGTGAATTTTTTCCATATGTGAGCAGATTTATCTGTTTGATTAAAGCTGGAATCGGTTGTCCTAACACAATGTGTTTATAGACAACAAATGACCGTCCCAAAGTTATTCGATGAAATGACATAAGTCACAGCAGCATTTAAATGCACAACAACAGAGACCTCAACAAGCTCCAGACAAACCCAGACAGTGACTGCTAAAAACACTCCTAAGCTTTGTGCTCCAAATCAGCTTCTCTTGTGAGTTTCTTGTGACACAACAGGGAAGGTTTAAAACATTAGATTCAGACTTTTTGCAGTTTCCATCCAGGGGTCAAGTCACAACCTAATACTCCTAATACCTAATAGTAAAAAAGGTTTCTGCAATCTGCAAGCGACTAGATGAACTAGCTTTTAGCTTGTTTTACCCTTACTGATACCTAGCCAGTTAGAAATTCAAAAATCCAATCTTGTAGTCGGTCAGTAAAGCACCAGACCAAGAGCTACCAGGCTACGCAGCAGTAAATAGCATCAGAGGAAGATAAAAGGAAAACAGTTTTCTACAACATGTCAAATTTTCATAGAGAGTGAGACTTCAGGAAGATAATAGGAAGGCTGAACTGATCAAGGTCCGCTCTATGGGTCCAAGGCCGTAGGGTTTCAGTTGGCCCAGTTGGCTTTAACAAACAATGTCATGTAGTAGCAACGAATCAGTTCTAGGGGCAGTAGTGTTCCAAAATTGGGCTGATTAAACAGAAAAAAACACAGACAGATGAAAGTCTCTGTTCGAATTCATGGGCTGCTTCTTCCAAGGAGGCGGTCTACCTGGACTGGATCCTTCGAAGTCCTTGAAAATAAGGAGACGGGAAGAGCTTTGGCTGCCGGCCTGCCCTGTCGCTTAGCAACCGTGAATGAATGAATATCAAACTTTTCAAAACTGCTTCTTTTTCATCTTTTTTTCATCGCATTCCAAAGTGGAATAAAGGTTCCAACCACCAGGAGCATGAACAAATAAAAGCAAATATAATGATATAAACCTTAGTCAGTTAAATAACATGCTGCTGTCATTTTGCACCTCTCTGATGTTGCTGCTATTTCAAATATTATTACTGTAAATATGTCCATAGCTGGATATTAGATATTTATGCTCCAGTTGCGCAGTTTTATATTGTTACACTTTACAGTTTTTTATTGTTTATATTTTAACTCTTCACTATGATGTTATTCTTATACATTTTACTAAGGTCCACAATTTGCGTGACCATTTTTTAAAATAATCTTTTTGCTGCTGTAAATTTGCCCATTGTGGGACAATAAAGAGATTTTCTATTATATTTTGTAAAAGGGGTAGAAAGATATAGGTAAATCTAAACAATGTATGTAAAAAAATATGTCTTATATTCAACAACAAAAAATACTTAGTTAAACAAATTATGCAAAATAGCAATTAAAATATAAAAATCCTATCAGATTTATAGTCCCCACCCTGCAGATATATCAGAATGTGTCCTTAAATTACAACCAAACTCATTTACACAGTAACAGATAAAAACGTTTTGATAAATCAAACATTACCGCCACATATCTGACTCTATAACCATTAAAACAACTATTTTCATTCATTTTATATGGAACTATTCACAGACTGGATTATATCAAACTGAAGTTTTTTTGTCTTCATTTCGATCTCTTTCTTTTTTTTCCTTCTTTACTTGAATGTGCTGCTCTATGTCAGATTCTCTCTTCTTCCTGGGATGGACTGGCATTTACAATGCAAGAGAACTACTTCAGTGTCCGGATAGAAGATGGTGGTACCAGCAGTTAGAACTGGTCAGGGTACCGTTCCAGGGTCCTGGTTGGGTGGTTCATCACCGCTGTGATCCGGTTCAGATACCGGACTCTGGCCCGGTTTAAATACATTTGTTTTATAGGAACTGTTAATAATACTTCAATTAATTTTTATACTGTCAATTTACTACACGTGATCTCAATGTACTTTACAGAGACAGTTAAACGAGATCATCCAATCAGATTGGTTCACAGTTTTCTATCTAAGGAAAACCAGCTGATTGCATCATTGACTCAAAGGGAATTCCTCATACTAAGCATGCTTGCAGCGACAGTGGAGAGGAAAATCTCCCTTTTAACAGGAAAAGTCTGCTCACATTCAGAAATCAAACTTCTGAAAGTACTTTAAATATGAAAAATTATTTACTATTCAATAAATGATAAGTGTTTTAATTAAGTTTATTTTCATCTGAATGTGCTTTACTGGAGGCATCCATGTTTGTCAAAGAACACTACTGCCACCTACTGGTTTGTGACATCACGGTGCGGTATCGGCTGTTGATCAAGTCCCAGTGCTGTATCTGGTGTTTGTCACAACGCGCTATTATCCA